ACTAACCATTTTTGGTCGACCAATAATGTTTCTCAAAACTAAATAGTTTCCTTCTGTTTGGGAGTTATTAAACCCTTCTGTCTTTCTATTTTAAGAAAAAGAAGCCATTTCAGAGCAAAAAGATTCTATTAGGCAATGCTGAAAGGAAAAAGATTTTGACATTTAGGAAACAAAACGGAATATTTCAGGGTTTTCACACCCCCGCTTCTGTCGTTTCTGTTAGAAACATTTGCTACGTTCAGCCTCCTCTGCGCAGATGCAATCTTTCCCAAGCTCCATTTTGCAGTAAATTTACTGTTTAATCAAAAAATAATCATCCCCCAGGGGGGAGACACGTGCCATTGCAAGTCTCGTGCTGCCGCAGGATGCGAGCTGCTCTCCTGGGACTGGGAGAAAGGGGACAGCACTGGTCTGCCTCATCTCCCAGGTAGTCCTGCTGGCATTAACTGCATCAGTGAGACTGGGACTGAACCTCATCAGGACCCATTTGGGGATCTGGGAACCTCAGCCTGTTCATCGGGTAAGGCACCTCCCAACGGGAGACCATCTAGTGGACACCTCTGCTCCCATTCATCCCTTCCTGCCCATCTGTGATAGCTAACAACACTTTGGGAACACAATAAGGAAAAAAGCACGGTATATTTTGGCTTTTTCATGCAGTTGAGCAGCTTCAAGTTGAGAAGAGAGGCCTGCACCGTGCACTCGGTCACCTCTGGGCAGAGCTCCATCCAAAAGTCTGTGGGGAACCTTTGGAGACTCCTGCAAGTAGAAAGGCAAGCCACTTTCTTGCTGCTGACCCTCTACATATAGGCTGTGGAAGTCAGGACCTGGATGAAAGGAGAAGGCAGGACTCTTCTGTATGGGTGGGCCAGGTGAGCTCCCAAAGCAAGGCCTTAAACCTAGCTCAAAACTGCCCTCCCTCCCCCATTCCTTCCCTGATGGTGGAGGTCAGGAGAGGCATGGTCACAGTCTTGCTCTTGAGCAATCTCATCCTGCTAGCAGCTGCCTTGCCATCACTGGACTATTGGAAATATAATCAGAAAGTAAGTGCCAGTGTAAACAGACAAACAAGCAACTTAACAGCAAAATCAAAAGGCAGATTGGCTGACCCATGGTCACATGAGATGTTCCTACCTGCATGCCTCTTTGGAGGATATTTCTTTAAGAAGACTCAACAGGTAGAAGTCCAGGGCTACAGTGGAGAGCAGTATTTAAAACAGTTTCTGTTCTTACAGTATTCAGTGTCCTGCTGGCAGAGGGAGGCAGGACACACAACCACGCAAGCAGGAGATCCTTAGAGGTCATTCACCTGTAAGGCTCGCAGAGCTGAAGAGATCCGACTAACAGAAAAACGAAGGATCACCACGTAGCCAGCAGATCCCGCCTGGAGAGTGAGTAGTACTTATTCATTGCCTTCCTGAACTCCAAGATCTCTGGTATTGCTGGTGTGAAATGCAGAAACAGAAGGACTCTGATAGGACTTCCAGTCTGAATGAACTCAGGGATCATTCTCCACGGTGTGCCTAGCTAGCCAGATGTGGCATGGATTTCAATGGAGGGTGGCAGGTTTCAAAGTGCAGGACTTTTATATTTCTTTCTGCAACCGTTATATTTATTTCCCTCATAGAAAAAAAAAAGGGACATTGCATTCTAAGTAATGATCCAAAACACTGCAAATCAATACAGAGTTTGCTCAGCTTTTTGAATCATGTGCCTTGTACCATATTTCTCTATGGGGTGATTTGTAAAGCCGGGCAAGGAATGCAGCCACACAGGTCCTGCTATTTTCAATGGGAGATGCACTGAGTCAGCTCTGAAAATCTTAATCAAGGTTTGTTCCATAGCCAGGCAGGCAGGCATGGAAGTATGATCAATGAGTAAGTCATGCATTATTATCCCCTATGAAAAGAGAAAGTTCATTATGCTCCCTATCATCACGTAATCCCACATAGATCAAAAAGCTTTTTTACTGTACCTCAGAACAATTACTCAGCTCCGGAAATATGCTTATACAGTTATAGATCCATGTTATTTAGAGTGCAGAGAAGCAACAACATACTCATATTTTTTTTAATTTGCCCCTAAAAATATTCACTCTTTTTGTAACTCTAGTTAGCAAACTTTTTACTGTACAATCGACAGCAGTATGACTAGCATAACCTGCTCTGCATTTCAGTGGCATTCACCACCTATAAATCCGTTCCCTTCATAAATAAAACAGCTTACCAGAACAGAAGCAGAACTCCAGAAGCAAAAGGACCATCTGAGAGGCTACAAATGAGTATATGGTAGCATTTGACATTGTAGGCTGAGCACAAAACCAGGTCATCAAGGCATTCTCCTCCCGACCCTGTATTCTGTTCTTGTTTGGTACGGAGAGCTCACTGTTATAGGTACACCTGTTAACGATGCCAAAAGGTAAAATATTAATGGTAGCCTGTAAGTGAATAGAAACTAAGGTGCTTGGTGCTAGAGAAACCCCCGCAATACGAAAAGCAGACAGTGAACTGTATACTAACTCCTGAGGCACCTCAGTAAAATCTTCTCAGACACGGTCTCTTCAGCACATTACCATTTAGTGGCTGCTGTTTGTCTTCTATTGTAAAAGGGCCACCGATTCAGAAGATGACATATTTCTCCTTTTTCATGGGTACTCGGGTCGGCTTGAACTCTTAGGTTTCGGGTGGGGTGGGAAAAGGAGAGGGAATTCTTATTCACCACCCCATGAAATGCATTGGAAATATTTTGTCCATATGCAGGGTCATTATTCTATATGCCCAGGAGGATGGTCCCACTGATTGAGCCAATTTTCCACTACATTATATATAGAAGTGACCATTGGCTTAATTCTCAGCACCTAAGAATGCAATATGCTGTGGAAGAGGATGCTGCAGGGGTTATAGCTCAAGATGGGAAGTCAAGCCTTGCAGATACTCTTCCAGTGTCTGTGAAAAAGTTACTACCACACTGTGCCTCACTTCACCTACCTGGAGAATATGCATAATAACATCTGCCACCAAAGCAGGGCTGAAGTTTCAATGTGTGCATATACAACCTTGAGCATTAGGTATCACAAAAAAGGGAGGGAAAAAAAATGAAGCATGGCCATTAGTTTGCCTTGTTCTTATTGCCTTGCTTCTATTTACAGTTTACTTGCCTTTCATGTTCAGACCCTTGATTCTTTTTATCCTGGAGTCCCTCCTTGTTTCTAGTACTTGGCTGCCATGCTCTAATGTTTGGGGAACCACTAGACCTGGCTGTCTTTCCTCACGTAACAAATTCTATGCAGAAGTGATTAAGGCGTTCAGGATTTCATCCTGGATTTTTAGAAATTGGTCTTAAGTAATCAATTATTAGTCCAGAATCCTCTGCTAGCTCAAACACTGTGTTAGACATGAAAGGCATCTGAGGTTGTATCGGTGCTTCTCTTGAAGGCTGGTTGGTCTGACATGCTCTCCTATCTCATTTCAGTCTTTTGGGGGGAAAAAAGGTTAGTTATGCTAGTCAAGATATGCAGGATCAGGCCCTCAACTTAGATTTTCCTCTATCTGTATTCACCCTCCTACATTTTTGCAGCGGTGTGTATGAGAACTTGCTTCTACGCAGGTGGCTACTCCTCATGAGCACTAAGTGGGGAGTAACTTATTCCACTCTGAAAATGGCATAAAGCACGTCCTGCAAAGGGGGTCTACGGGGAGCGCACATGCTGGTAGGTGGTGTCCAGCCACTAGCAAACTACAGATTCACACCCTTGTTAACTAACTGCACACTAATGTCCCCATGCAGCAACATCTGTCATGCTCAAAACCCTGCAGGGACTTTGTAGATGGAAAGTGAAGAGTCTGTGGCACCTTAAATAATAAAACAGTAGAGAATAACTCCTGCTGTTCCAGTCACTGTTCCTGCTCATGCTACATTGCTTTAGCATACCTTACTTTCAAAGGCATCAGAGGAAAGTCATTCCTGTTCTAAAATAATGTCCTAAAAAATATCTGGGTTGCAACGGCGGTGTGATTTTTCAGACGGTGCAACACATTGTGGGAAATTGCCCAATTAGATCATGTAATGGTAATCTAAAATGAATCCATGCAGCTCGCCCTGACGCACTCAAAGGGTTATCAAATTTAGATATCAATTTGTGAATGTTGTAATCCAAAAATGTCAGACAAAAGAAGACAAAGAATGTCCTAATTTCCTAACTATTTTGAATTGGGATAAAGGACCCTGCAAACTCAGAGACTGGAAGAATTCATTAGAATTTGATGTTTGAAATTTTCGAATCACATTGGTCTGACTTCTGGACTGTTTCACCTTTCGGAAATATAACTGAAAGCCTCAGGGATGTTAACGTTTTGCGGTGCACAGAAAATTGACTTTTCTTTCAAGGTAAAGTAAAGCCCAACTTCTAGTTGAACCGGAGGCAAAATTCAGCGGGAGGAGAAAATCAGCCTAGAACAGTTTTATCCTGTTCAGCATAGCTATAGAAGTTTGTGCAATACTCAAAAAAGATCTGAAAGTTTGCAAGCACCTTCAGCTCAGCTCCTTTCTTATCTGTGGGGCTGACTACAGTCACTTGTGCCACTTTCTGATTCACCCGAGTCAGCAATGTGGATCAAATACAAATGGTTCCAACTGGATTACCGCAAAGGCTTAGCCCCTCACAAGGAAGTGATGATCTTTATTCACTTTCTGGTACATGTGGCCAACGTGACAAAAGGTTATTTTATACCGTGCTTTCCCAAAATCATAAAATCACCAGCTGCATGCTGCATTTTCAATGCTTCAGTGATCAAGTCATGTTCCCTCAACATCAGCCATTGTTAAGAGCAATAAATAATGATTATTGCCTGAGGCTGTGCAGGCTGCAGGCTAGCTGCATTGTGCCATATATCATTGCTTTAGGGTTCAGTGTCTGAGCTTAGTCAATGGGACTTGGGAATGAACTCTTCCTTTCCAACATGAGCCATTGAGTACCCCTGATTTGTTTAAGTTTGGGACCAGGTTCCAGATGTCAGATGCACCATGGTCCAGCTGCAGTGTCTCCACTGAGATCAACAGAGTTTTGCTAGTTTAGATGGAGGTTGGGCTACAGCCCTGGGAAGTGGTTTTTCATCTGGGTTTCTTATTCAATCTGAGCAAAAGGAAAAGAAAAAAAAAAGGTTAAAAAGATGAGAAGCTTCAAGGCAAAGACAGATTCCCACAAAGGAATTTTCTTTTTTCCACCCCTGTACTGTAGTGAGTCCATTCTCTGCTATTAGGAATCTACACAGCTCTCATCACCTTGGTATCTAATGCTTGTGTCTGTGCAAGGAAGCTAGGGCATAAACCCCACTAGAGCTACTCCACATGAACTCGCTCCGAAGTCGAGTAAGATACTTTGCATTCCTCCTGCACACAGAGAGTCCCTGCAGGGGATCAGTGCAAAGGGGCTAGTGCAGCAAACTCACATCTAAACCTATTGTGCACTAACTTCTTCATGCAGACAAGCCCTGAGCATGTGTTATTCTTCCAGGGATAATGAGGGACTTAAGTGTATTTTAGTGGAGGTTAGTGACAGCGATGAGAGACAACAGGAGTCCTGACACTAATCCCCTGCTCTAGCCACAGAAACACCTTGCATCTCCATGCAGGTGTGTTGAGCAGGACCACCTCCTTGTCTGCGTTCCACCCTGTTAAAAGCGGCTTTGCAGCTTTCCACGAGCACCTCCTCACATTGTTGTCCCCACCGGCTACATGTACTTTACTGTGGCACAGAAGAAGCGTCAACCTGGCATTTCTTGCGGCTACAGCGCAGCGATGCATGGGAATTCAGCCCGGAGCAGTTACTGGAGTCCCAGAGACCTTGCACACTAGGACACACAGACTGAAGTAGCTGGACTGGGGGTATTGAAGCATCTTCAGTCGCTTTACATGCACCTGTAATCCGGAAAGACCCAGCACTGCAGATTGCACCCCGAGAGAGACACTGAGTCATGCACCAAGCTTCAGTTCCTAGTAAACATGTGTCTTGCTGAGAGTCAAAAACTTTGGGCGTAGGTGCTTGAAGTGCCCCACAGATAGCACCTGTGGTATTAGTGGCACAGACTGGTCACTAATTCCTTAATGAGGATAAATTACTGGGGGGGGTTGCTAATAGATCAGTGAGAGATCTGGTGCAAAAAGATCCCTTTCCTAGAGCTGTTCTTACAGGTTTTTCAGACAGTACAAGCATGGTTTTGAAACCAAGGTAGATTGGCTTTTCTGTGCTAGAAGTGCCCTTCCTGCTTTGTGTTTGTACCATACCTAAGACAGTAGATCCTCCTTGAATAGGACTTCTGCGCACCACCACCATATCAAATCACCGACGTGGGCAATCATTAGGACCGATCGTGTCCTGACGATTCCTGTAGAGTGTTTCCTGCAAGTGTAACAGTTCATTTGAATGAAGGGCGATTCGCTGAGACGGGTCTCCAGTGGGAACATGCAAAAGGACAGAGCAACTCGCTGTGCACTGGCCGTAATGAGACCCCTCACAAGAATTGCCCCCGTATCTCCACTAATACACATCCCATGCCCTTTAACACTAAGTAATTCTAACCTGACTGCAGTCCAAATCCTTATCCCTAAAGTGATCAGGAAGGGATCAGACTTTCATGTGTAAAGAAGTAAGCAACTTTTAGCCTTCTTGAAACTTAGAACAAACTTCAGTCTAATCCAAGGAAAACAGGAACACAGAGAGGTAAATCACAGGCCATTATAAGCCAGGTTTCACACCGATAGCCAGATCTATTTAACAAGAATGACTCATATCCTCCTCATGATGGCATTTGTCCATCCTTTGCTCTGACCAGACTGGCAGGACTGGGGTTGCAATTCTGCACATACTCTTTTTTTGTTTGATTTTTGATGTGATCTCAGGGTAGTGACAGTAGTAAAAAATTACCCCAGAGCATTAAATAAAGGATAGTTTGGAATGCTAATTAAAACACACCTATGAGACAGAAAAGTGAAGGCCAGCGTGAATGAAGCTGGTAGAAACAGTGGGGTGTTTCATTGCCAAAGCAATGGGAAACACACTCTGAGAAACTCTCTTGCTTGGGCTGGGTGGGAGAGCTGAATGGACTATGTCACCCCATGGTCCAGTGCTTATTCCTGAAGTACCCACAGGTAGAGTCACATTTCTTGGACATGGTACGTACACATCTGTATGAGAGAAAGAAAAGTTTCTGATCCAACAAGCTACCCACAGCAGGGCTTCAAAGCTTCTGTATTGGGGGCTTGGAAAAAAACTTGCAGAACTGAGGTGAGGGTGCACTGCCCAGCTGTACTGCAGTCGATAGAAAACAGAATCAAAGCCTACCTAATCAACAGTCAGATGAGAGCTTTTGAAAGAAAAACAAAAAGTTACGGCCAAATCCTCACTTAGCCTGAATCCACTGACTTCCAGGGACCTTTGCTGATGGACAGCAGCCCTTTGGCTTTGCAGAGGGCAAGTTCCAAGCCCTCAGGACATACCCGCACATGCTCTGGCAGTTCAAGCTTCCCTTTCTGTTCCCCCCAGACTGGTTATTTGCCGAGAGTCAAACCGTGTCTGCGGGAACTTGCACACCTTGTTTCTCCTCAAACGTTTTTGCTGAAACGACTTATCGGAATAGCTAAAAAATAATTAGGAAAACAAACTAGCTCCATTCCCCCATCCAGTCCAGCTGACAGCCAGGGGCTGGAGGAGGACCGCAGGTAAGGGTCAGCAGTGTTGATAGTGCGTATCGCAGCTTCTTCCCCCTGCTCGGTGTGCGTGCTAGCTGGGCGAAGAGCCCTGCGTGGTAGCAGCGCTGCTGTCTCTCAACACCCCGAGGATAAACAGACCCTTTTGTTTCTTCTGTTCCTTTTTAGCTTCAATTGCGAGGCAGTTGACCAGCCTCCAAGGAGATATCCCTTGGGATTTTAAATGACATTTGCTTTTAGAGGTCTTCTTGCAAGTGACTTCAGTGCTGGGGAAAGGTGCTGGCCATGAGGACAGGAGCCTTGAGTCTGCCTGTGCAGGCTTCTCACCATATCCCTGTGGTGTGTCAGAATGAAATCTGCAGCAGCAATTCTCAACCAGGGGGCCACACGTTCCTTTTAAAGGTACTGTGGGGTACCAGGCATATAAAATTCTTTGGGTAGCTGTGATAGCTTTTATTAGACCAACTAAAAAGTTGGGGGAAATGTTCTTTGCAAGCTTTCAGACACAAAAGCCCTTCTTCAGGCATAGAGGGAGTCTGCTGGTGAATTGTGTGAACTGCAAAGAACAAGTCTTCCAGCTGTTTAGGTAGCCTAATAGCAAATATCACATCTACCCAAAGAACCTCGTCTGCTATGCCCTTAGACCAACACGGCGACAGCCAACAACCCTGTGGGGTACCACGCACTCCTTGCATTTTATCTGTCAAGCGTGCAAACACCTACACAGTTCACAAGATAAACCCAGAGGTTTTAAATTAGGAATCCAGGGTTAAATTAGGAATCACAGGCCCTGCTGTGATCTTTGGGAATTCTTTGCAACAGAAGAATTGCTCTATTATTATTTGGCAGAGAAAAAACGAGCAAAAGCTAAGAGCTGACATTTTTTTTGAGGGGGACCTTGAGTCTAATGCAATGAAGGGGGCTGGAGTTTAAAAAAGGCTGAGAGCCATTGGCCTAGAATGAGCCCTTCAGTAAGTGACGGCATGGCTCCGTCTCAGGAGCCGTTTCAGGCCTGGAACTGTCCACAGCAGGGGCTATTGTGGAGGGTGGAAGCATTTCACCAGCTACAGACGGAGCACACGATGACAGCTAGTGACTTTGGGTCAGTCTCAGCCTGTCAGGTGTCTGAACTGGTAAAGCACTCTCGCTCTCTCAAACAGTCCCTTGAGCTGTCCTGCTTCCCCCAGGTTGTGCCATTCTTGATCTGCGAACGGCCAGGAACATGCAGAAGAAGCCATGCATCTGCGTAGGTGCAAGGAGGAGGAAATGGAACTGGAAAAATGCAGCGAGTTGCCCAGCACCACCTGTCACCTTCCACCCACCACAATCATGCTCAGAATTAACCCAACGATCGATGCTTGCACAGGGTCCCGAGACTCTGGGATGCCAGGGGCAAGCATGGCTACTGCCAAGGGGCATGCATAGTTCATTTCAAATAGGGCAATTCAGCTCAGCTCCCCCCGGCAGCTTTTAGAAGGGATTAGCCAAGCGCTAGTGAGAGGGTCGGCAGAAAAAAGTCCCCCATGCCAGGTTATCCCCCTGCAGCCTCCTGCCAGGTCAAAGACAGCTTTACTGTTGACTGCAAAGGGGTAAAGATTTCCCCACCACCACCAGCACCACCAGCACCACAACCCCACAATATTTATTAGTAGGGGAAGGCTCTTTCTCCTCTTGTTCTCCTGACAAACCTGGATAGAAAAACTCTCTTTGCTGTTGAGCTGCAAGGTACATTATGGGCACAAACACACCTCACTTGACAGACCCTTTTCGGTGTCCTCCGTCACCATTTCCTGCATTCACTGTAGTGAGCTGTTGATGCAGGTGTTGCCTCAGGCTGGCTTTGGTCAAAGCGCTGTCCCAACCACGGCAGCAGCACACAAACACACAGTCAGGCCAGGTACAGGCATTACACTTTTACCAGTATAAGTGAGCCTGATTGAAAACCACAACAGAACACACATTAGGCACACAAAACCAGTCTATACCTATAACGCAAGTCCAGCACACATGGACTGGCTTTAAAATGGCAGAACCCGGTCTAAGATTTGCCCTCTCCCCCCACCCCGCAAGGGCAAAGGTGTATTCTGATCGTCAGAGGCTACTCTGTGTCCTGAAGCAAACCTGCACCAGGGTTATTATAAACCCACTGCCTCACATCCTGAATGCACCACATAGACGGCTTTCCCCCATGATTGTCCCACCTGCAGCATCCTTGCTGCCTCACCTTCTCACCCTCCCCCTGTTTGAGAGCCCCTGCTCTGCACAAGCAGGGAAGTTTAGCACTTTTCAGTTGTACTTACTCTCCCCTTCAAACCAGTGCTGTGATAGCTTCCTTTCTCCGGTGCTCTGAAGTTCAGTCTTACTTGGATCATAGGCAGCAAATCCACCAGCAAGAGACCTTTCAGCAACAGAGGACTGAGAAAATTGTCTTCCAGCAGCCTGGCTGGTCCTGGATAGTGCAAACTTAGCAGCAAACCCTTCTTATGTCGTATGTCCCAACCTGGGAAATGGCCTCACTCCTGGGTATGGTATGTAAGGAACAGCAGAAGAGGGGCTTTCCAGTAATGTTAAGTCTTAGGATCAGTCTTTGCTCTTACAATGGAGGCTCCGGACAGAAAGCGGATTTACGCATTGGATAATTGTACCTGCTTGGACTTGTTACGTGGGGAAGTTTTCTCTATATATAACAATAATTGTGGTGAAGAGATAGGACTAAGTCAGTGATAGGACTTGACAGAGTCATGCAGTGGTTGTTTCAGTCATAATAAATGTGCTTGCATGTACAAGCATGCATGTACAGGTCCTGGAAAGCCCCAGTACACGCACAGATGATGAGAGGCAATTAGCACAGCAGAGGCGTGCAAACCACAAAATTACATCAACGCTCTCGTCCCTCATGTCAGGGCACAGCTTTATTGCAAGCAACTCACACACAGTTATTGATGCTCCTTTGCTACCTAACAAATATCTACAATAAAAAAAGCCCAGAACAATGGTCTGTGATGGAGTCCATCTAGCTGGTGATGCCCCAGGTTTTTCATCCCCTACTCGTTTCATCTCCTTTGGGTTCTCTAATCTTTTTGGCAAAGAAAGAAAAAGAATGATCAGAGGTCCCAGCTTTTCCCCACTTCTCCCAGGCAAGAGAAGTACAAGGCCTCCTAGGCCAGCTGCAAAAAGATGCTGTAACTGCTGGAAGCAGCAGGGTCTTTCTTTTGTGTTGTGTCATTCGCTTTCTACAGTCAAGCGGGTCATGTTTGTCTTACTGGATTCTTCTGGGATGGCTATTGAAGGGCATTTTTCTTGCTGCAGGAGTTAATTATTAGCCACAGTCAAGTAGCCCTTGAGCAATTAGATATTACAGCAGGAAGAAGAAAGCACAACAGAACACCTTTCATTTCTACAAGGAAATAAAAGCCCTTTTCTCTGCTGGGAATTACCCTGTATAAATTAAATCTTGTCACTTGATACACAGAAAACAAACCCTGCTGGCTGTTTGCATAAAACTTTTCTTGGCATCCTTCTTATTCGCTGAAACCTGGGATCACCGGATGGGTCAATGATTGTGCGTAACAGATACCTGCACACATGCACACTCCTCATACCTGTGCATGCCCCGGCCATCCAGTGTGTTCAATTTGGGGACGGGAAAATGGGTTTAAAGACTTAAGAACCGCAGCTCCCTTCAGGCTGTCATTCAATCCTGAGTCCAAGCCATTGGGAGGCTCAGAAATATTTGACCCTGCGGGTGGCCGCATGTCACAAAATCTGTCCCCATGTTTGTCATGGTTTATTCTGCGTCTCTAATTGCCTTCAAGAGATGTTGAGGACAATAAAATAAAATAAAGTAAAATGAAATAAAATAAAAGGGAGTGTGGGGGAGAAGGGAATTAGTTGTTATGCTTTGAGCTGCACGTCTGATTGAAAAGCAGAGGAGCAAAGATCAGAAATCAAACAGAGCCTCAGACCAGGAACTCACAGCTACGGGAACAGGTCTTTAAGGAGTGGTTTTGGCAGGTGCTGAGATGAAGCCAAGATGCTAAGCTCTTGAGCAGGGCTTTAGTTCTCAGGTGGGCCAAACTTGCAAGATCTCGGCCAAGGGTGCAGAGATCTCAGGCTGGCTCTAACGATCACCAGATTTCTGAGCTGTTTTGGATGTAGGTTTCAGTTCAACTTATAAGAAGCCTTGATGCCAGCAGGAAAGAGGGATCCTGCTTTTATTATGGATTTGGAATATTGAAAGTGTGGGGCAGGCTTGGATCAGGCCTATCCCTCATTGCAGATGAAACAACTGCTTGATGCTAATACTCTTCTGCACAGTAAAAGTGGCCAGGATCGCAGGTGGTCTGTATAACAAAATGACTACAAGAATAGGAGGGACATAAGGCAATGGGAAGCCCAATATTTCAGTGCTGCAGGCTTCCATGACAAAATCAAGACCCTGCTTTATAACTACTGGCAGTTTTTACCAATACGCAACAGTTGGTTTTTATATGTGGGATAAATAAGCAAGTGATAGCTATTGTAAAGGCACTGCCCACGTGGAGAACAGGGGAAGCCACCACGTAAATCTATTTTCCAGACGAAGATTGCACCTAGCGTCCAAAAAAATTAACATCCGAATGTGAAATTGTGTGATCCACGATTAGTTCCCTGGAGCAAGCCCCTTCACTCGTGTGCAGGGGGAACCTTGGGCTGGGAAAAGATCTACAGCACGCTTCTTCTGCAATGAGTCAGTTCACTCCAGTGATAAAGCATGTGCCAAGGCTGCCCAGAGCCGATCGTTTCCAAATACGATTGTGCAGCAGAAAAAAGCGGGCGCTGGACGGTCCTTTCTGCATGCCAGCACTGCCCTCTCCTGGGCTGAATCAGACCTTCCTAAACCATCTCTGTGGCCAGTCTACACAATACTGGGAATTCATCCATTGATAATAGTCGGGGGGAAAAAACACCTTATAGACAGTCATTGCAACAGTCCTGGCTGGGCGGTTGGTAAAGATTGTTATCCCCATTTCAATGAGGAGAAAACTGGGGTCTGGTACATTAGGTGACCTATCAGCAGGTTACAAAAGGACTTAACAGTGGAGCCAAGAACAGATACCCCAAGTCCCCTTCCACTGCTCCGAACACCACCTCGCACTATTTTAATGTTGCATTTCCCTTAGGTTCAAGTGGGCCGGCACGTCTGTTTCTGGTGACACTTGATGGACTCCAGGCCTGTGGTTTAGCTGAGGACTCATGGTGTCTGTAACATGCATAGATTCAACAAGTGGTTCCTTTAAAAAATAAATGTTAATGATCCAACTAAGTCCAATGTAACCTCCCGAATGTGGTTATTTACAGATTTCTGCCCTGCATGAAAGAAAAATGACTTTACTAGTGTTCATCTTCTTGCTCTCCTTCGTCTGGACTGAGTCTCTAATAGGTAAGTAGCTAAACAAGTGGACAGTACATTAGAAGTGGCCGAGTTGTGTCACATTTAGCATCAGCAGCCATTGCAAGGATGTACATTAGCAATACCTGTAAGTGGAGCACACTGGACACTTAGCTAGAACCATAAACCCACGCTCTCCATAACCCACGCTGATGTCTCAGCGTTAGCCTTGCAAAGCATTCATTCAGCATGAAGTCCATTCAGCTGCTGTGTCAGACCTTTTGGTTTTCCTGTCTGTGGATCCTCATCTCTTCGGGGTGGAACTAGGACTGGCATCTCTTAGGGATTGAATTAAGTGACACCCAACAGTTTTGGCCCTGAAATTCACAGAAAAGTTTGTGCCATTTCACTGTTTCGGCTCCATACACTGGGTTTCATTTCAAATCTGGGGTTCAAGAGGACTTGAAATCCCAACGCAAAACTTAGCCAGTCGTGTATAGATAGGCATTGGCCCAAAATACCGTTCAAGTTTAGCCTCGTGCCCCTTAAATGGAAAATCAACCCCAGGCTCTCTCCCAACACGAGACTACAGAAGGTCCCAAAAGATTCTTAAACCTTTGAATGAAACCTGACCGAAGTTCTGGGTTTTGCAACCAAATTAGCAGGTGAAACCATTATTAAGAAGTTGTTGCCTTGGCGTGCCTGTGAATTTCAGCTAGATTCTAGCTTGAGCCTTGCTTGGAAGAGTTATCGCAGCAGGGACTGCCCTTCCAGCTATGCAGTCTCTGTGTCTGACCATGCCAAGGTCACAAGAGGGTTAAAAGTGAAAAAGCAAGGCGAGTAGGGGAAAAACCCCCAAAGAAACAAACTGCAAAAGGCAAAGTAAAGATTTGACTTGTTTGTGCCTTTATGTAAACCAGTTTGACCATCACAAGCAACTGTTACTCTGTTGCCTCACTCATTTTACAGAAAGAAAAACAGTGAAGGTGCTAGGCTAGCATGCAAAAGAGCCGTGTTTACTTTCTGGTTCTGCCACAGGTTCTATATTTGGCCTTGGACAAGTCATTGAATCCTTCCTTTCTCAGTCTTGCCAACTTAGACTGTCAGCTTTTCTGGACAGGAATGGCTTCTTTCTATATGTTTGCAACTGCTTTCCTAGCTCTGTGGGGCGCCCATGTCAGCTGAGGCGAGTAGGTGCATAATATAATAATGAAATGACTTTACTTGCAGCGGTTATCATGCAATGTGTGTTTCCTTTTGCCAGTTAAAAGTCCCATATTTGGACCAAGGAGTGTGACTGGAGTGACTGGAGGATCGGTTACAGTGCAATGCTTCTACCCTGACACCTCTGTAAACAAGCACGACAGGAAGTACTGGTGCAAAGAATCAACAAGGCAATGCGAGACAGTCGTTTCTTCCAACGGCTATGTTGCTCGTGGATATGAAGACAGAGCAAACCTCACCGACTACCCCGAGCAAGGCATCTTCGTCATGACCATGTCTAACCTGGAAAAGAAAGATATGGGCTCTTATAAATGCGGCATTGGTATAAGTTCTAAGGGACTCAACTTCAGAGTCAAAGTGAATGTGATTCAAGGTACTGTGGCCTCCAGGCTGTTTGAAATCATTATTTTTCCTTTTCTAACAACTGTAGTCAGAAAATGTCTCCTTCTGCAGTGCCTGTCAGCTTAGAGATTACAGCAGGATGATAGCAGGGTGTTCTGCAGCGGGCACAGCAAAGCATGGGGTGGCATGGTGCAGAATGGTGCTATTTCGGTAGGTTAGTACGGACACACACAATGATGTGCGCAGGGGTACAGTTCAGCGAGATATCCTATACTGTAGCAAGGTCTGGGGTAGCACTGGAAAGCACGGCAGACCATGCTACAGTAATACTGCCATGTGACAAAGCAAGGCCTAGAACAGTGTGGTAAGTGCAGTCCATATGGGTACCAGCTGCTGACTGATTTCTCATTCACACAGAAAACTCACCTGTGCCTAGTGAAGCCCAACTCTTCTATGCTGAGCAGGGAGGTTCTGTGACCATGGGCTGTGAGTTTGGTGAGCAACACGCTAGCGCCAGGAAATACTTGTGCAAGATGGGGAAAACGGGCTGCTCTCCTGTGATCGACACGTACGGAGTTGTCGGTGAACCCTACAAAGGGAGGACGCTGCTGAGCAATCAGCAAACTCCAGGGTCATTCAGCATCATTATAGGCTACCTGAAGCCAGAAGATTCAGGGACCTATTTGTGTGGTGTTGGGAACTACGGGGGAGAAAGCCAGGAACTGGATTTACATGTCTATGTAGGTAAGTGTTGAAGAGGGTCTGTATATTATTTCAGCCGTTCCCAACAGTCTCATATTCTATTTTCCTTCGTGTTTAACGAACCATGGAAAAGTTGGGCTGGAAGGGACTGCAGGAGGTCATCTGGTCCAACTCCCTGCTCAAGGCAGGGTTATTCCCATTTAAACTACTTTAAACAAGTGTTGGTGTAACCTGCTCTTACAGACTTCCAAACAGAGATTCCCCAGCCTCTCTGAGTTGCTTGCTTCAATGCTTGACCACCGTTATAGTGAGAAAGATTTTCCTAACATCCAACCTAAATTTCCCTCGCTGCGATTTCCATCACTCCTTGTCCTGTTTCCTGCAGGCCCGGAGAATAGTCTATCAATCATCAGTCTTCTACTTTTAACCACCCTGAGGTCTTCTCATCCCCACACTAAACAAGCCCAGGCCTTTCACCCTTTCCTCCTCTTTAAAAACTCATTCATGACCGTTAACTTTACAGACAAAAAATTCAGTGCTGTTCACCCATTTGCTATTTTACTCAGGCATTCATATAGCAAGGAGCAAATCCCTGCTCGAACCATCTTACTACTTATTTTCAATACTGATTTGTAATGGGGAAGTGGAGGAGTGGGAACAAAATACATTTTTGGACCAAGTACATATGCCACATCTCTAAGCAATCCTTAGAAATACTGTGTAAGGACTTTAGAGAAGACTCATTTGATCCCACATACACCCTATTCCCTTCACAATCCTAAGCTCACTCCCTTTGCCCAGTCTTGTTTTAAATGTCTCCTATTAGGGGTTTCCACTGCTCCCTTTATGACACTACTGCATGTGGGTGATCTGCCCATTGCAAGTTTGCCTCAGTCCTTCATTCGGGATCAGCTTCCAAAGGACAAGTTCAAAGAGCAAATGTCAGAGCCGATAAGCCAAAGGGTATTTCTTTGCCCAACTACTGCCACTCCTCTTGGGGTCCATATATCTGTTACCATTTGATTTGCTGTGCACAGATACCCTCTCCAGACTTCAGGGTATCTTGATCTTCTATTATGCTCTTGGCTTTCAAGTGCAGTCACCATACTTCTCATCTATCAGTTATGTTAATAATTAAGTAATAAGAAGAAAGTCAATATAGCTGGTGTCCTTGTTAAAGTCAGCTCCATGGAGAACTGCAATACCTACTGGTGTCCTGCAAGGATCCCTGCAGGTACAAATTGAAGCCTGAGGGTGAGCTCTAAAATGTCCTGATGTCAGGAAGAAAGCCGCCAAGGCTGCGAAAGGGTGCGATATTGCACTCTGGCTATCTGTGTTGTGACGGTTCAGTTTGTCATTTATATTGCTACAATTAACTTCATTTTAAAATGTTTTAACACGGCCAAGCCCACACCACATGAATATCATCTCAGGGTGACTCTAACTGCATGCATTGCCCTTTGTTCCTCCAGGAACATCTGTCCCCCAGGGGCCACGTATAATAAAAGGAGTCAGAGGTGGTTCTGTAGCTGCTGAATGCCAGTATGATCCACGAGGGAAGTACTCACTCAAGTACTGGTGCAAATGGAAACAACATGGATGCACTGAGTTAATAAGGAGCGATGGGTTTGTCGCAGAAGCATACGAAGGACTGATAACCATGTACGATAATCCGAGAAATGGAACGTTCACCATAATAATGAACCAGTTGAAAGATGACGATGCAGGATATTACTGGTGTATGACAGCTGGCGATAAGGAAAGGAAAGCTTCAAAGGAGCTGAAGATTGTAAATGGTATGAGACTGTGTGTTAGTGATTCATCTCTCTGCCAGCAAAAGGCATACAAGGCATTTCATCCATTCTTAATCCCAGAGCGAAGAGCAGAGCTGTATCTTTTTTTGAGGAGAGAGTTCTTTTCTCATTCGTAGCTTCTTAAGTTGAATGGGCGATGCTTTAACATTTAAAAAAGTATACGTTTGAGTGGGGAGGGTTGTTATGATTTTTCAACTGAAGCTTTTGAAAGTGTTTGAAACATTTTCCCGCCCCCCCAAAAACAAGTTTTCACTGCTTTTCTACCAAAGTTTTTAGCAATTTTCAAGTTTTCCTAACAGAAATCTCTTGTGTGCCTTACAAAAACTCAGCAAGGCTATAAGAGTGTCTATACATGATCTTTAATGTTATGAGAGCAAAGTAAAGTGTTTCCTCTCATGGAAAGAGTCTTCAGATGGTTATTCAGGCTTATTCATGCTTTGTTGGTACCAGGTTTCAATTGTGCGAGTCATTAACAGCCTCATTTGTGTTCTCTCTCCAACAGGGACTCCTGGTTTAACGGGAGAGAAGGAAGTCAGTGCAGTGATTGGTGAACCCCTCACTCTAAGTTGCTCTTATCCGTGCAAGTACTATTCCTTTCAGAAATATTGGTGCAAGTGGAGTAATAATGGCTGCCAGTCTCTCGTCTCGTACGATCAAAACCAAACCGGCCGTGTTGTTGACTGCAACCAGGACAACAGAACCATTGCCCTCAAATTTGACCACGTGTCACAGGCAGACCAGGGGTGGTATTGGTGTGGAGTGAGCCACAGTGGTCACTATGGGGAAACGATGGCGGTGAACGTGAAAGTAAATGGAGGTGAGCTCTACTACAGACTTCACAACAAAAAAACCAGGCGAGCATTTCTGTGCAGCTACAAATGCTCCCCAATAATGATGTCTTTCCCTCGAGAAAGAGGGATTGCAAACTCTAGGCCACACCATTTCAGAACGTAATCTCCTCCATGTTGAACCAACAAGCCTCTGTTTACCCAGTTGCTCGCACCTTACTCTAGTCCTACAATTTATCAGTGGGTCCTGCGCCTCCTCCACTTCCAGATTATACTTCTACACCCCTTCCACATTTTAGTCCTCTTTTAATAATAATTGCCACTGATGCTGCTACTATTTATATATGTTTTACAAGAACACTTAAAAGGCATATTCATGATCAGAGGCCTGGTGTGTTAGGGGTTGCACATGCTCATAGTAAGCGACACTCCAAAAACTATTAATCTGAACAGATTAGAAAACAAAGAGAGCAAGAAAGGATGGTTGCTGTCCCTGTTTTACAGATGAAGGACTATTTTGCAACTCTGTCTGAGCACATTTAAAAGGAAAGGTCACAGAGGGAAAGGTCGCAGGGGGTCAGAGGTCTTGTTCTTTTGGAGGGGGTGTTAGGAATATACAGGAAAGCCCAAACCTGATGTTCACGTGTTAATGTACAATACTCAAAAATGAAATGCTCTAGAAGTAAAAGGGAAAGTCTGGTTTCGCTGCCCTCGCCTAATGAAGTGCAACGAGTAAATGGAACTTGAAAAGAATATATTTATATTGGTCTTTAGGAAGAGTGCCAAGATTATCACATGTGGTCATTGGGTAAAAGTTTCATTTAAGTCCAATTTTTTTAAGTCCTGAACAAGTCAAAGCCATACCAAATATCAATGATAATATTGTGAAAAATCAGACTTAGTCACATTTTGATGAAGTCACCTATTATTTATGCATAAAAATGCTGACAGGTTCTCTCTCTCTCTCCCTCCCCCCCACCCCTGCACTCTGATACTCAATGTGAATATCTCAAATCCACCTAGCAATAATTAAAACTGAAGACAAAGGACAGCTAGGCAATACTAATCTCAATGAAGACACTCCAAGTGGTGCTGCTCCTGAAAGTGGTGCTGCTCCTGAAAACAGAGCAGTACAAGTAGACGCTGAAAAAAGGTGAGTCTCTCAAAGTCTGTTCTGTTTATTAAAAGGCATGTGTCACAGGGGGTCAAAGGACATTAAGGGTGCTAGGATGAATCCTATTCCCCAGTATTATGTGATCTACCTGTTGCATTTTAACCAAAGTCACCTGACAAATCCATTTCCAATTGGCTAGGTTCATAGAAACCCGCTGCTTTATTTAAGGAATCTTTATAAATAGGTGCTTGATTATTCATGACTGGGAGAGTCACTGCCCCAGTGATATGATGAGAAATATATATATATATATATATATGATGAGAAATAGGAGTAGCACTAATTTTTCATAATAAATACAAGAATATGTGAAATCATACTCTAGAAACTTTAATAAGCATTCAAAATATTGACAGTAAATGGTTAGAAATGCAGTATAGGACATTAAGAGGCTATATTGTTATTAAAATAACACCGTCTACAACAGCTATCTGGTCAACTGATCTAGGAATAATAGCGCATTATCACCTCTGCATTTTCAAAATTATTCTTTCTTCCTTCTTATGCTTGGCTTCAGTATTGCTCATTTAAGTTAGTGTAGTCTTTATTTTCCCCTCCACTTATATCAATATTTAGGCTTATATTTCTCTCAAAAATATTAGGGAAGGGCAAGTAGTTTGGATAAAAGTAAGACTTCCCCAACTCTGCATTCAATTTTGAAACTTGTTCTAGGCATTGAGTGTTCAAGGCCAGGCAGTGACAAAGTGCTGGACAACTGTGTCATGTCTTCCAGGGAGATTTTGCCCATAAAATAACTTGGGGTCCTTTTTACAAGGTTGAGATAAGCAGCCATATCCTGAATGCTTAGTTCACTCTCAGCTCCAATTTTTGTTTTTAAACTTTTACCTATTGTTTCTTAAGATGCCACTTGCCATATACTGACTGTCCTAAGGCTTTATGTGAAATAAGGGATACAGGGGGTTTTGAAGTTAGAAGAGCAGGCTGGAAACCATGGAACCAACGTTCTTGTCTTGGCTACTATATTCATTCCCTTCCATTTTGAAGCAAGGGATTTTACCTCTCTGTGCCTCAGTGCTCCACTTGCAAAACAAGGATAAACTTGCTTCACAGGGCTGCTCAGATGTTCTGCTAAAGCTTTCTGAAGCACTCTGGAGTCTTGAGAGTGATGTGGAAGCAATGATCCCCCTTGATTTTGAATGTGGCAGATGTAGGAAAGATTTCTTTCCACTATTAAGTGTTCTTTTGTGAGTAACTAATGCTCAATTCCTCCCTTCCTAGCTCTGGACAAAGTCAAGTGCTTGTCCCAGTTGTGGCTTGTATTGGCGGTGTGCTCCTGATCCTGGTTGTGGCCTTTGCTGTGTTTAGATATAGGAGCCTGAACAGGTCAGGTAAGTCCTACACACTCTAATAGTCTTTCAAGTAAGGGAAAGATGGACGTTTAGGGGCAGACGACGCATACAGCACCTCCACTGATCACAGTGGCTCCTATCACACTGCCCCACCAGAGGGTTTGAACGCTGGGGGTTAGAGCTAGCATGAACTCCATGGAAAGCCCAGCTGGCAAAGTGTGAAAGAGTCAGAAGGACAGGCCTAAACAACAGGACTGCATTGCAGAGCACTTGACATAACTAACTGACCCTATCTTCAGCCTCAATGTTGGTCCCAAGTGGCTCAGATAAACATCTCAGGGCTTGAAACAGTGAACACTCGAGCTTCTGCAGGGTGCCTTAATAAAGCTGGGGGTTGGATATGGTTACAAGTGGAATTATCAAACTGAAAAGCTCATGCCATTCAATAATATGCTGTCCCCTCTTCTCCTAACAGACCTGGTATCAGTTGGAAGCTACAGAACTAACATCAGTATGTCAGAGTTTGAGAACGCCAAAGAGCATGGAGCAAACGATAACACATTTATGAAAGACACTCAGGAGACCCAAATTGGGGGAACGGATGGTAAGTTGCTGATTAAAACTGTTACCCGTGATGTGTCTAGAGATATAGAAACTAGTCTTAGAGGTACTATATGTATAGGGGATTCTGTACGGAGGCTGTTGGGCATAGAGAAGACCTTCCAATTGTCTGACTCTCCAGTTGCCAGACTGCCCGAGTCCTGTCTATCATCGCACAGGTTCTCTTTATATTGCAACTTGAACTAAACCACCCTTAACAACTTACATCCTTGGATCTCAGAACACCTTACAGAGGAAGTCTAACAAATTTGGCATTTGATCCAACTTACAGTCAGGCAACCAGCTGAGGTAGCCTAGCTCTGGGCTAGTGTGATAAGCAGCAGGAGCAAAACTAGGCTCACAGCTTTCTCCAAAGGCTGCCCAGGGACCTCTTTTCCCTCCCTGAGGTACAAACAAAAAAAATACACTTCTAATTTACGCACTGCAGCGAATGTGAACTGAATAAGCTGCAGCAGGTTCAAGGTGTTGCTCCTGGAGAGGTTCTGCCTACAAGTGCTTACAGTGCAGAAACACAAACAGCTACAGCCAGGGCCTTCAGTCTCCAGGTCTGTGATAGCAAAGCCCTGATATTTGGTTAAATTTACCATTGGTTGAATGATAAGCACAGACTTTCAGCATTTAACCAATGGCAAGTGAGAGCAAGAGTCACTAGCAATTACGATCTTCATAAAGAGAAAATTAAAACCTGCTTAAAGAAATGGGAAGATCTTCTACCTTAGAAATCAGGCAGCGCCCCTAGTTCCAACAAGAAAGAACCTATGTCATGCCGACACAGTGCAGCTCTTATTTCATTAGGGGAAGGGTGATAGAGCGGTTATGGCTCTTCTAATGCTGGAGCCACTCCTACATGGTGCTATTCAAATTCTGGAACCTGACAAACAGAAGAGCACGTGCCCTGCACCTCAGTAGCTAATATAGGAGCTAATGAGTGAGTGTGTCATGATGTGAGCTATATTCCTTCCTACCCAGCACCCTAATGCCGCCTCTTCTTTCAGAATTCATAACTACTGCTGACACTGAAGACGTAGAGGAGCCAAAGAAGGCAAAAAGGGTAAGTAAGCCTAGAATAGAGTCCTATACCTCCCAGGCTAGCACAACCCTAGTCTTCCCTTCAGTGGCAAAAGCTTCCACAACCCACAGTGCACCCTATTTATGGGCTCTGCCTTCTCAGTTAACACCCTGTTATGCATCTCAGCTGTGGCACGCTCAGATTTTGCACAGGAGATTGAGCCTTGCATGGCACCTGCATCATGGCAAGGAACAAAACAGCAGCCAGTTTGCTTTGATGTATGATCGCAGCTGAGCTCGAAGGGGGAGCAGGATGTTATTGTTCTCAAAGCCTGAATCTCAGTGAGGAGACTCACAAATGCAAAGCAGCTTCCTTCCTTTTAAATCAAACAGTTTACTGAAGCTGGGCTCAAATGGGGGGACTAGAAGTCAGTGTTCCTGCCTCATATTGCAAAGTTTACCATTAACTCTGTGCGTGTTCCCCAGCAAGTCACTTCCCTTTGCTATGACTTCGGCTACCTGTAAAAGGAGATGATGCTATCTGTAGTATTCTGGGGCACAGCTGTATATTATTATGCCTCCAGATTTAAGCTGCTATTAAAAAGACCCATAACATAACACTTTAAGCAGCCCAACAACCCATGGTGCTAGGAGAGCAACGGTTAAACAAAACAGTAGACAAACCTCTGTTCCCTCCTAAGAACTCCTTCCCAACCTTTCTCAAATAAAGATGCTGCTTCATCCTCCATGGAAGATTTTGGTCCCCCAGAGAAGCCAGGATAGGGACGAAGTTCCACAGTTCTCACAGAGCACGCCTTTCCATCCTCTGTTCATTAACTATGCTTGTACATTTTTTCTGCTGTGCTTAAATGAAAGTTAGTACAAGAAGGCAAAGTGTTTATTAAAATAGTTTGGAAAATACAGCAGTTTGTGGCCTTTGCTGTAAAACAGGCAAATCTAATGCCAGTGTTAATACCCATAAAGCAGGCAGGCAGGGACAAGGGTGTTTCAAAGAACTGTAAGTTTCCAAAAGTCTAGATACTTCCCCAAAATTTCTGAACCTCTTTAGAGGGCAACAGTGTGAGCAAGGGATTCTCTCCATCTTCATATGTCTGCGGTCTACAGCTCCCTACCTATGCTGGTTTTTGTGGAAAGCTCTAAATCACTGTGTTTGAGTCCCTGCCAAATAGTTATGCAATTCCTGTTTTTTCACTTAGGGATCTAAGGAGGAGGCTGATGTTGCCTACAGCATGTTCCTGCTTCAAACGAACAACATTGCTCAGGAACATGCTGCTAGGGGCACTAACACTTAGCAACTGAACGTGTAAGGTGGCCTGGTGCAACTGTTTCTGAAGGAGATATAAGCACAAAGTCCTTACGATTGAAGACAACACTATCTGCATAATCACTCGCCACCAGATCAGCCAGCCATGCCGTTTATTACTGTGACAAACGTTTCAATGCATTTTGATCGCTTAGTACTTCAAGAATGTCTTAATCCAGCATTGAGAGATGATTTAATGAGGATGTTTTGGTTCAAAACTGGGTTGGTTTGGGGAGGTAAACTCTCAAAATGCTGCTGATTTTTTTTTTTTTTTTTAAGGGTAAAGAGCATTGGTGTTTAGCAGCTTCATGCAATAAAAATGTCTTTGATTTTTGATAGTCCAAATACCGGTCTTTCCAAGTTTACCAGGTCACTGCGATGGCAAAGGGCTGAAAATGTGCTTAAGGATTTCATCTGATCTTAAACCAACTTGGAAATATTTTAGATCAATGTGACACTCCTTTGATTCCTGTGAGCTTTTCTAATCAATAGGGCACTGACTATATGCCGGACAAGTAGCCTGAAATTTTTGTATTCTCAACCAATAAAGAATGATTGCCTTTTAGCAGATCACTTATTGTGTTCGATCTCTGGTATTACATGGGGTCGGTGCAATGGAGAGGGGGCTGTATTAGCGGAGAAGCAGCCATGGCACCGAGAGTGAAGGGAGAAGTTTTACAGAAGCAGGACGTGGACGTGCTGCGGTTCCCCTGGTTTACCTGTGGCACGTTAGGGCGATGCTGTGTCAGGGTTGATGGCAGTCTTATATAGAGTTTTGACTGTGGTTATATGGGATGGTTTGTATAGGGATGATCCTGCTTCAGGCCAGGGGTTGGACTAGATGACCTATGGAGGTCCCTTCCAGCCCTGCTTCTCTACCACTCTTAAGTGGCTTGACTCCTACTCAAAGGCCTGATCCAAAGCCTGCTGTAAGCAATCAAAGCCCACCCAAAACCTCCTTGTCTTAGGCATGCAGGGGTTCATTTCCCTGTCAGGAACTGCAATGGAAACAAGGAGGTGTTACTGCTCTAGTGGCAATAAGCTCACATAGGCATGAACCTGGTGTCAGTGGGAGGAAACTCAGCTCGTAGGTTTAAATGAAAACGTTCAGCCAGGCTCTCAGCGCCTCGAGTCTCCATTTCAAGGCTTGTACGGTTCACTGTTACTTCCGGACCTTGCCTGCTGTGCACTTGAGCATTGTGGTTTACCATCAGATACCAGGGGGGTTGCACGGCTGCTTGGCTCTGCTCTGCTCAGCTCAGCTCAGGGGATGGGACGATGCCTACAATAATACCCAAGCGAGGGAAAGAAGCAGCCCGGCCTCAGAGCACCTGCTCCAGTGCACATGAGGGCTGTGTTTTGTAACTGTACTGCACAGCATGAGCAAAAATAGGTTGGGGGTTTCTTGGTTTGTTTTTATTTTAAGTAATAATGACTGGTTTCTCATGCCCTCTAAAATCAACTTAAATACACACTGAGGCGTGCCCACTGTAGGCCCCACGTGGACTGTCCTGCTGACTCCTTTGGTGAAAACATTGGTTGGAGATAGATAATGTTGCCCTTCTTTGCAATAAGAAGGCAATTCATCTCTGGGTGGTGCTAAGCTGACAGTCCTTGGGTCTTGTAACCATGGAGGAGTCCCAGTAAGGGCAGCAAGAGCATGAGATGCCTTCTAAAAATGAGCCCTCGGGCCTGAGGACCAGGAATGAAGGGGCTGTTGTCCTCTTAATCTAGTCCCTTTCCCTTTTCTCTTCTGTGCGCCCCACCCCAGCTTCCCCCAATATTTGTCCCAATGGCTTTTCTCTGGGGCATCCTGCTCTACCGTTTCCCTTATGCAACATCCAGGATCAACCCAAACGTTCAAGCTGCTGAAATTCAAGTCTGAACAGAAGTTACATTATCTTGGTCACCTGGATCACAGCAAACTCAGCCATATCTGTCATGGGACTTGTGACGCAGCAGGACGAGCTTGGTGGAACAAGTGCCAAACTCCTACATTACTTTGTATCTCTTGTGTTTTTAGGGGTATCTCTAAAACACCCACACATCCAACTGGCGCGGGGGCTGTGTAAGACGAAATTCTAAGGAAATACATAATTCATCCTGAGCATAGCCTCGCAAGAGGGTTACACCTAGGAGGAATTTGGCTGAGTATAATCTATTTTGAACCTTACTATAAGACTTCCTTTGTGGTTTGCATATTGCTTGTATGGAGAGGAAGGGGTTGATACAGAACCATACTCGAGCCAGGTTCCTTCTTTTTGTGCTCTATTTCTTTCTGTTTCCGGAAACACATAGGACAAGGAACCAAGACGGTATCACTGTGAGTGCTCTGCCTTCACTGTACTTTACTCCCTGGGCCTCTCATTTCACAAAGAGAGAGAATGGACTTCATCAGTGTATTCTTTTTCTTGGTGCAAGGTAAGCGCTGCATTGATTAAAGAGCATATTCAGGATTTAAAAGGGAAATAATCAAAGGGAACACAGCTATTGCTCTTCATTTTTGCTTTTACGTGGAAGGCACCTAGAGCTAAACAGCCAAGTGGGCCTGTTTCCTTGGAGCGTAAATCAAAAAGGGGCTTTCTTTCCCCCTCCAAGACTTTCTCTTGTGAATTGTTTTACTCTGTAAAAAAGGCACAGATGGCCAAGTAAGTCTGAAATGTCAGGTTTGTCTGATGGTAATATTTCTGCAGGGTTCCCAGAAGAGTGAATAGCTTGAAACCGTTGCATGTTTAAGGATGAAGAATGATTTCTTTTTAGCAATATTTATCACAGAAGTTTTGTTGTTTTTTTGTAAACTGTGATGTGGGAGAAAGGCACTATATTATGCCCTAAAGGGATGTGTCTCCTTAGGGACAGACTTGGGATGTATCTCCTTAGCAGAGAAGTGAAGTCCAGGCTTGAGAACCTTCATGTTTAAATGCAAGGAGAGTTCAAACAAGCGCTCCCCATGACCCAAAATACTTCAATCAAAAAGCAAAATAAAGGCGCGCCTTATCAACTGACTGAATCAGAGATGCATGAAGCTTCTTTCATCAGGTGTTATGAAAGGACAAGCAGGTCTCCGATTCAGTTAGTTGGTAACGTGCACCTCTACGTTGCCGTCTGCTTCAGATGAACGCCGCTAACTGCATCTCCCTGAACTACTTCGGAGACGCATCGGGTGGAAGAGACAGGAACCAACCCATTTGAGGACATAGGATGTTGGGCAGGCTCTCCATATTTTCTCAGTGAAGAAAATATCCTGCTCCTGGTGTTTTGAATCTCACGTCTTCAGTAATTAGGATCTGAAAGGGCTTGCAGGGAATCTCTGCTTTTAGAAATACTGGGTGGGAATTTCAGAAGCACCTTAGTGACTTGGAAGTGCTAACTTCCAGTGGGATCACACTCCTAAGGCAATAGGTACTGATGAAACTCCCCATTTTCAAAGCACCATGTTGAAACTCAGGTTGAGACGGTCATTTCCTTTAAGAACATGCTTGGGGCTGATTTTCCTTTACATTAGTGACGTAACCCCTTTTAACATAACCTATGCTATAGGTAAAATCCAATTTACACATCTGTAGATGTCCAAATCATTGGTTTTTCCCTTATGTCAGTTATCTCCTGTTAGCTAGCACATGCTAAGAGCACAGCAGGTTTCCTAGCAAGGACAAGATCTTAGTGTGACGCACCTGAAGTACAGAGCGCTACAACAAGAATGGGATACAGCTGAGACCCGTGGGACCTGCCAATATGCATGAGAGAAATGGCTTTTGTTATGGGTGGAACTGAGTGGGAGAAAGGCCGGGGGCAGGATGGGTTTCTGCAGCGCTGGTTGGGAACAGAGATAAAAAAACACAGTCCTATGCAATGCTCTGCTTTAGTGTCAACGGACATCAACCCATGACTCTCTTACTCTGTGCCCTCAGTTTCAAGTGCATTCAGCCCCCGTACTGTGGTCGGTTGGCATGGAGGCTCTGTCACTATAAAGTGTCCCACGAAAAACCAGGACATGAGAAAATTCTGGTGCAAACAGAGCAATGAAGGGGATTGTACCACCATCATCTCCACTTCACCATTCATCCATCACGAATACAGACACCGAGTATCCCTCACAAACTTGCCCAAGAAAGGGATTTTTCAAATAGAAATGAGGAGACTGGAGGCGCTGGATGCTGGGCTATACATGTGTGGGATTGGAAGGATAAACAACAGACCCAGCTCGTGGACCCTCCAAGTGGACCTGAAAGTTTTTGACGGTACAGTATTGTTCTGGGTGCTGCAGTGTGTACAGGATGTGTGTCTGCAGCCTAGATGTACTCTGTGGGTGTAGTCACACTGATGGTGCACCAGCGCCTCGTGCACACTCTCTGCCTGCCTAGCAGTGTAACAGTGTGCCATGGCCCTAAGCATGCACTGGTTTGTACTCCAGGGAGGGAAAGCTCTGTTTGGCCCGGGCCTGGTGCATGCTGAATCCCCAAGGCATGACACCCCCCGTGTGATAAGTGTTGTCCAGATGCTACCAAGGAGACATCCAAGCCAAACTCCTGCCACTCAAGGTAATGTCAACCACATATCCCTCTTATTTTAACAGGTTGGGGGTTGGAGAACTGGCTCTAACAGGCCCTCGGCTCTTTTCTAGCAAGAGCAAGCACAAGGAGGTGATATGAGTGCAAAATGTGGGTTGCAGCTACCTGAGCTGAACCTGTTCGGTGCTTTTCAGAGCTCCTCCATCATCTCAACTTTGACTCTCACTTTAAAATGAGGACCATCCCCGTTTCAAGTATTGAGGAAAGGAGGAACAGGGCAGTAAGATCATCCCTATCTGTCCATATGCCTCTCTACCCAGGAATGCTTACACCCTAATTAACTCTCTGGCACGTCTGAGCACCTTACAATACTTAATCAAGAAAAGCATTAACAAAGCCTAAATACTCAGACATATATCTATAGGAAGAAGCCGCTCACAACTCAACAGTATTGATTTTTGTACCGTCTCTAAGTTCAAACACGTGGCGATCGCAGCAGCTGCTGCCTGCAACAGAGGCATCCAGGAGCTTTGTTTGCAGGGCTTGGGACTATTTTCCCTTCTCTGCAATGCTCCGGCACAAAGGCCAGGTGGTGCTATGCAACACGCAGCCCTCCCCAATAGCTCTTGTTGTTTCCTCCATGTCTTCCCCTGGGGCTGTTGGCTGAGGAAAAGGCAGACCTGGCTCTGTTTCAGGGATTACACGCAGCGTAACTCTGCTTTCTACTCCCATTGGGACCGGTCTCTGGAGTCATGCCATTAAAATCAGGGGAGTCACATGGATGTAAACTGGGGGAACATAGAGGCGGTTCAGTCTGGTGAACAAGGCATTGGCATAGGGCTCAGGGGGTCTGCCAGCACGTCTTAGCTGGTGCACAGTAATTTATATTGGCTGAGGATCTGCCCCTTGGGTGGGTTTTCAGCTCTACCACTGGCCTAGTGGGTAACTTCAGGCTGTTCACATCACCTGTGCCTCAGGTTCCCTGCCTGTAAAAGGGAGATAGCAATAGGACTTGCTCTGTAATGTGTTCTGAGATCCAGGGATGTAAGTCATTAATAAGAACTATTACTTATTAGTTATTAGCAGAGTGAGACAGCAGGCTTGGCCCCGAGTTCAAGGTGTGGTGTTTGCTGTAAACATCTGTGCAGGTCACGAAAAACATCCTCTCGCAGATACTGCCGGGCTGTGGCCTTCCAATTAGTGCCTTTCCTCCTAGAGGTCAAACCAAGGCAAATCTCAGTTCCACCCACACGGCAGTGCCAGGGTAGGAGAAGAGGAAGTGAAAGCAGGATGTTGCTCAAGAGCTTTATATTTTTAAAATTTGCCCGCCTCCGATTGTGGTCTCACTTGGTCAGTCAGGTAGCACGGTCAATCTGGAGGATGTCAGTCACTGCTGTCACCTCTCTTGTTCTCTTTCCACATTCACGGTCTCCACCCACGGCTACGTTCCATTGCACTACCACCTTGCCCACGCTCCTGCTTACTCTGGTGTAAACTCAGGTCACACCCCTGATGTCAATGGTGTGTCTCTACATCTATACCATTGTACATGAGCTCAGCCCTGGCCCCTCGCACTCAGCCCTCACCTGGACTATGACATTTGCTAGGAAATAAATAAATCAAGAAAAAAAGAAATTGCAAGGGAAAAAAATGCAGCAGCAGTTAATCTGAATGTACACTGCTTAACAAACCCTGCTTTTAACAGCAG